GTGATTGTTCATTAGAATGAAAAAAGTATATATTTCAAAATTTGGATCAAACAAATAGCCATAAGATGGTTTTTTAAGGTTGTTGCATCATATTACTATACAACGGTTGCATGAAATCATTGCCCTTATCTGAGTGTATGTAATACTAATATTGACTAAGCTTGTTTTTTTTTCATTTTTTGGGTAGTTCAGTGAGGAACAGCTCTCCTACCCGTGGTAGGAATGGAACTCAAGACGTTAAGTTGTAGCGCCCCACCACCTTGATCACCTAGCCTTGAGCCTAGAAAGAGCATTGTAATTGAAACGAACTTGTGCTCACATTATGGCTACTTTGGAAACATATCTTTTAAGTGCCCATTCTTAAACAGTTAGAAACTGAAATGGCCATAATCTTAACTTAGATCTGAGAATGAGGGATTCTTGGAGCTGAATAGTGCAAAGGTGATATGTGTTTACTATTAGCAAGCATAAAATATGATTTAAGCATGTTACTGAATGGATTAATGCAATTCAATGTGCCATTGAAGGTAAAAATACTGGCTTTTGCACTGGAATCTTGGATGTCATTACATGCCATTCAATGCGGAGCTGTTTATTGATGGCACTGTCAAACGGGGTTTAAAGGAAGCGACAAACATAGGAAAAATCACTTTCACCTGATTATTTTCGTATAAAAGGTTGCAGTCTTAGTCCATGTTGATAGTGTCTTTATGGAGCTTGGAGGGCCACATAGATCTTGCTTTCGACCTCTTGCCTAAAAACTGTGTTGATGCTAATTGCTAGCGAGAATCTTGCTAATGTAAATTGGCTTTTCTCAGAATGGCCTCTAGGCCTGGGTTATCAGGGTGCGACGTCGTGATGTCTAGAGTTCCAATTCTATGGAGCTCCCAAGTTGGCATTAAAAAGGGGGGTAAAAGGCTTTTCTTAATATGGTTTAATTCTGTCATAAGTTAGTTGAGTGGGGTACTCGGACGACGTGATGAAGAGTTGAGAAGGAGAAGCTTTTGTAATTAATTGTGGGAACCTTGCAGCTAGTTCGAGGATTCCTACTTGTGGAACTTGATTCCAAGTTTTGGAACAAATATTTTCTGTGATTGTGTTTTCTAAAAGGTGAGGTCTTGTTCGTTCATGATATCTGTTTGTTGTCTTGATCTATTTCCTGTACGACCTGGTATTCCAATTCTTAAATATTAAATTATGACCTCTCTTCTTTTTTTTCCTGGGTAGCAGAATTTGATGTCACAATTGTAAAGGATAATACTTCTTGAGATAGTAAACAAGGATTCTCGAAAGTGACATAACCGCGAATGTATTCTTTCCTTGAAGATACATTTTGTCAATATCAAAATGGTCAATTATGTAAACATGTTTCTCAATAGCCTGCAAAGATAATGGTACTCATGGACGTGGTGCATTTTTATGATTTACTTAACGTGCAATAATGTTGTCAGAGGTGTGTTGGAGCTGGTGAAGAGGGTTATGCATTTGAAATTGTCTAGAACTTTTTTTTTCAAAATAAAAAAAAATTTATACAATCTGCAAACCCTTCCCATTATGAGCTCCCTTTGGCTAAATTGTCAGTTCCAAAAGCATGTACTTTTTGAAGTTTTTGAACAATGGTATTTATGTTAATATTTAAGGTACATCATCCTTTCTAATTGTAGGTTATTAGAAAAATCCCCTCAATTGCTCACATTCATTTTTTCCTCTTTATCTTCTGGAACTTTGATGTACTTTCGCTCTTTTTTAACTCCACTGTTTATCTGACATTCTAAGTTCTTTCTTTTATTGTCCAATGAATTAACATATGGTACGTAGCTAGCCCTTGCGAGGGCTTTATCATTTCAGGATTGTAGTTCAGATGATAAAATTGACTCTAATCATTTCAGGATTGTAGTTCAGATGATAAAATTGACTTTAATCTTAGCGGAATATCAAATGGGTGTCTGCTCTTCAGGTTATTATTGGTGAGGGCTTTGTTGTCCCTGCTTATTCCAAGATATCTTTAATGACTCAGCCAACAAAGCAAGATAGCGACGAGGAACTTGAATATGCTGACAGTAGCACTGGAGCCATTGACAGTCCATGTATGTTGCTTATATTGCTCATTAAGTTATCCCAATTGGCTTAGATCATAGTTGTGATTAAAGTTCTTGCAGTCGTTTCCCTTGTTCATGATTTCAATTTGAAAACATCATAACCTTGAAGGACCCTTCCAAAAGTGCTCTTTCTCTGGTTTTTATACCAACGATGTCCCCCTGAAGTGCCTTGGACTGGATATGAGCTTCATCCTTTGGAATTCCGTTATTCCAAATGATTGTTCTCATTAGAGTGATCACTCTTCTTGGTGCCAGGGTTATGCAGTGGAATAAGAGAGTTGCTTGGTTTTCTAAAGTATCATAAGTGATTCTGAGATTTCACAAAAGATTATGCTGTCTGAATGTTTTATGCCGTTGCATTCAGTTATTTTTATCTCTTCTCTGAGTATGGCAATGGAATGTTTAATTCTGTTGACCTTTTTTTCTCTCCTTAATTTTGTTTCATTTTTAATTTCCAAAGCCAACTGTATTCCTAATAATCAGAGAAACACAATAACATTTTCTCCGAGAAATTATGTGCTTATTGTTGATATATCTGATATGACATGCATTTTAATTATTTCATTAACAATTTATATCTAGACAGGATGGGGGTCTCCGAGAAATTATGTGCTTATTGTTGATATATCTGAAATGACATGCATTTTAATTATTTCATCAACAATTTATATCTAGACAGGATGGGGGTTTTTGGTTCTAGTGGTACAGTTATTTTCAAATTTATTTGTGTAGAATCATGGATTTCTCTTTTTAAGTGGCGTTATCTGTCCGTAAGAGTCATGGTTATAAAAGAACAGTGGATGTTTGCATTTTTGTTGTGTCGTTTTTGTATTGCGAGATTTCATCGAATACTCTTACTTTACAGTGTTCATGCTCTTGTTCATGGGCAACTGATCATCTCATATAATGAAGTACAGTCCAAGCAAACAAGAAGCATATATGTCTTTAAATCTTCCATGTAATATTTATTCTTTAGATGCCCTGTTTTACAGCATCAACTGGGATGGAAAATGATTCAAATGGAGTGTTCAGATCGAAATCATTGGATTCACCTTGCTGGGATGCATCTGAGGTTAGGAATGTATCTTTGTTACTTTATGCTGACAGCACGACTGTTTGTGTGAACCAGTCTATCGAACTGACTTATACTTGCCATGTTGATATGTTTGTCCTGCTCGGTAAGAGCAGGCACACAATATATACTTTGTTTAATTTCTGTGGTTGCTAAACCTGTAATCAATTTCATTTTATCAATTTCTACTACTTTATCTTCATATGCATTGATCAGAATTTTTGTTGGTAAAGATTATAGTCTCATTTTATGTTCTTTCTTTGACTAAAAAAATAAAAAAGAAGAAACAAGTAACAGGAGTTTTGTCAAAGAGGAAAGTGTATGATGGAAGCAATATCAGTTCAAGAGGTGGCAAATTGATATAGATCAGGTGCTACTCGTTCTCTACTAATAAAGAAGCCCTGGCCCCCTCTATAAGCCTAAGCATCCGCTTCCTTGTTTTCTTCCGTAAGAGCTTACTTAAATATTATGTCTTTGGCCTTACAAATACATAAAACTTTATTGAGGACTTCCACCACCATGGAGGAGCTTCCTCCTTAGCCCATTTAATAACATTGAAAATATCATCTTTTATGATAGCCAGTGGTCCCTGCTGAAAAGTGTACAATCTCAACCCTTTGCGCAATATATTTGCTTCAGCTATCACAGATCCACAACAACCTTTTCTCAAGTATAAGCTCCCCCCTTGCCATAGAAGTGCATGACTTTCACCCCAATGTCCATTTTGGACCGATGCAAATGTCAAATTGAAGATCTCTTTGAGATCTGCGACTGCTATCTCTTTGATATCTATGATGACTATCTGTATAGTTTTTCTTCAATGTGGATATTTTGGGCTCCGATCTCTTTGAGATCTATGATTACTATCTGTATAGTTTTTCTTCAATGTGGATATTTTGGGCTCCGAATCATATGTGATCAAAATCCTGCTGAGAAATTTGTTAAGAAAATGAGTATTTATTAAGTTTAGCTGCTGTGATTTAATTGGGAAAGCTGGAGTCCTTTATAATTTTTAGTAAGATGCTCTTCTTTCCAAGTTTGCAGCCAGAATATGGTTTCCTATATTTTAGAGGAGGTCTAGAAGATTGGCTATCTTCCAGTAAAGGCCTTACTTCTTGTTTGATAAATGCCTTTTTTTTTAAACTCCTAATTTCCTATCCTATGGAGAAGCTAGTTACTTATTTTTGGAAAAAGCTAGAGTTTAGAAAATTAAGGAAATCTAGGAATAGCTTGATTCCAATTAAAGTCACATAAAAGGGTGTTTAACCTTTATAAATACCCATTTAAGCCTATGGCCAGTTGGAAGTGAGAATTTTGAGAAAAAATTCAATTCTTAAAGTTTGTTGTGAAGCTATCTAGGTGAGTGATTCCTCTAGGCACTGTTTTGTTGGGAAGCTACATATACAAATGTTATAATATGCATTGCTGTCGTGCCATCCAAAAACCATGGCCAAATCCCTTCTTCGTCGTTTCTGTCCTTTTTTCTGTCTCTCACACCACCCTAGAAACCCTAAACCTTATCCCCATCCTTTTAAGATTGAAACCTTTCCTGAACTAGCCCCCAACCCTCAAGTCCATATGCAACTAACTCAAGATTTACCTGATTCAACCTCATTTTGTCAATCCCATAGTCTATTCTTGCTGGACTGCTGAATTCCAGAAAGTGTGACTCGCGTTCAAACCCTTGTTTCAAATCCTAAATTTTACCCCGGCCGTCGAAAAAATACCTGAACACCATCTCTAATGTCTCTACACCTCATAACACCTTCTTCTTCCCATCTTAAGTGTCTAAATTATGCCCTGGAACCTGAAATTATTCAATCATTTTCAAAACAGATGGGCAGACATCGCAGAGCAAATTTTAGGTTCGACATTAAGGATTTTAAAGGCATTTTAAGACTTTGATTGCTTGAGAAGACAGATGGTGTGTTTTCAGGTAATAGCGCTCATGCTGCCTTTTCCAAGACGGGTCATAATTGCAGTTTCGACATCAGAGCATAAAGTTGCACCTATGCGAAATTGGGTTATCATTTCAAAATTTTTTAAGGACAAGTTTGTGTTATTTTATGTTGTCAAGGGCTAAAATGTCAAATTTGGGTTAAACATAGGAGTTCCAAGTACATAAGGATTGGAATTACGAAGTCCAGATTGAATATATAAATAGGGGGTAACATTAAAATATACATATATATCACCTGCTAGCGGAACGAGAAAGAAATTTCCTCCTCCTGCCCGAGCTTTTCGATATTGTTATTTCAAGAACTCTGTTCGTAAGAATTCTGTTGAATTTGCAGAGCCATTGAAGCTAAGATTGTTATTTCCATTAAATTTTAGTCAATAAATTATTTTCTTTGTTTATGTGTGTTATTCGAATTTGCATCATTTGGTATTAGAACATTTTCATCTCCCAAAGCGCCCTGGAACTACTGCAAGTTGTGCGATGTCTACTAGAGGATGTCAAGGTGGTCATGGTGAAGGTGATGAGTACCGAAATAGTTAGGAGATTTGACGAACCGGCACATGAATTGCTCCAAAAAAAGGTGATCAATTTGAGCCTGAATTGGACATCAAGCCACTCAATTTCCATGAATCTACTGCTTTTGGAGAGCATTTGGTTTGAGCACCGTAGGTACAGATAGAGGTATGTGGTGGATGTTTCTGAATTTTCTGGAGAAATATGGCCCAATGAATACTTGGATTGCATTGCTAGTGTTGAAACTTCTTTTGAGGGGAAAGAATTATCAGATGGGAGAAATGTTAAATTTGTGGCTGCCCCAATTTGGTGGCAGCAGTTGCAAGCAAGTCAGGTTAGAAAAGGAAGAGATAAAATTACTACTTGGAAGGAGATGAAATCGTGTTTGATAGAGAAATTTGCACCCTCTTTATATGTACAAGAATTATGTCGGATATTTCATCATCTTCTACAAAAAGATTCTAGGGTGCAAGCGTACGCCGATGGCTTCTACATTTTGACGAGCCGAAATGAGATCCATGAGAATGATGATCAACTCGTTGCAACATATGTGCGTAGCCTGGAAATTCGGATTCAAGACGAGTTAATCATGCATCATGTTTTTGGTCTTGAAAAAGCATATAAGTTGGCCTTAAAAGTTGAAATGAAGTTGAAGAGGAGTGCAGTAAATTGCTCCTATGGTTGAGTGTTTTCTTCAATTTGAGAACATGGGCAGAAGTGTTTTAGTTGTGGAGAGCCCTGGGCATCAATCTTTTGAGTGCCATGAAAGGCAGGCCAGGATACATTGAAGCAAGACCTATTTATGGTCAAGATATCTATGAAAGGCCTGAAAGTGGTGGTGCTGAATTCTCCCAATGAAGGCAAATTTCTCTTTATCTAGCAGTGCTTATCATCCTCAATGGTGATAGAAGAGCCATGGTTTCACTCCAATATTTTTTGCACAAGATGTACAGCCTAGGGCAAAGTGTGTACGACTCATAATTGACAATGGAAGTTGCAGCAACACAGTTTCACATTAGATGGTGGATAATCTAAATTAAAGTGTGAGAAGCATCTCCAGCCATACAAAATCTCGTGGTTCAAAAGAGGTCATGAAATCCCTGTTATTCTCGTTGTTTGGGCATTTTTTCTATTAGAAGAACCTATGAAGAGTTCGCGATGTACCTATGGATGCATGCTGTCTACTATTGGTCGCCCATGACATTATGACCATTCTGCCTTACACCATGGGGAACACAAGATGTACACTTTTGGAAGGATGGGATTGAGCTTACCTTCAATTATTAAAAGAGGACAATCTGACTGAGCCCAGGGAGGAGGTTTTTTTTTGGGGAAGTGATTTTTTTTTTTGGTTTGGAGGGGGGTTGGGGGGGGGGGGGGGGCGGGGAGGGGTTTATGTACCATTTAAGTCTGCTTTTCCATTTCGAGTTTTGACCTCTCGCTGAAAACTGTGTAAGCTACATGTTGGGTCCTCCTTGAGTGTGGTGCTGGCTTTGATACCATACTTGCAAGCTAGAACCCTCATGCTTCTCATACCCCACCTTTTCACTTCTCTAGTTTTTGGATATATAAATTCATGTGTTGCTCCTTCCCTTATTTTATTTGTTTTCTTCATGAAATGCTAATGATTGTCTTTCTGGAACTCCTTTGTGCATTAAATACTATGGTTTCTTACCTTCTTTTGGATTTTTGCACATGAAAGATGTACCACAAATTTTATGGAATTTGGGCTGCTTGGTTCACATTTTAGTGTGAGGTTTGCTCTTGTTTTCTTGCTTCCTTCTTTTGAACTATTTAGCTTGTGCCCTGTCCAGGGGTGGAAATGCCCCTCATTGAGGATATTTTTGGGTCATTTTTTTAATACTAAAGGTGCAATATTGTTGGTTTTAGGTACATTTGAAATCTAAAGCCATTAAAGCCCATTTTAGAGAGAGAAAACCCCCCAAAAAAAAAAGTGATTGGCTGCATTGGCACAAAGGTTTTGCAGTGGTGTTCCCGCCCAAGGGGAGGAAGAATAATACAAATTCAGTTTAGTGGTCCACCCAAAATGGCACTTAGTATGTCTGTTGACATCTGTCTGATCACTGTGTATGCTGTTTGGGAAACGTTATGCTTGGGCTAACTTTGTTTTTACCTTTTTTTAATAAGTTATTTTGATATTATTAATGTTATATGAACATCTGCATGGCAAGTATGATCAGCCATGATGCACAATGATTTTGCTTCTAGAAAAAAGTGATTGCAGGTCAATTCTGCCATGGGCACATGCATGGCAGGGCCTACACTTTTAGTTTCGTTTAGTGGTTGATTAAGATGATTGCACACTGACATTTGTTCACTAATTGAGGACATCTATTGACTCTTTTCTATGCTTAATCTGCTCTTCAATAAGAAGTGATATAGTTTCTTTTGAGGTTATTAATGCTTAATTAGTTGTAAGACTGACTGATTGTTGCTAATTTTTCTGTGGATGTTATTTATTTACTCCCGCATTACATGTAATACTAGCATTTCCTAAACCAAATATTTATTTCCCACTTAATACCTTTCCTTCGCTTTCCATAGTTTTTGTCATTTTCCTACTTGTCACAACTATATGCTAATGTATGTACAGGCCCCACATTTTTGTCCAAAAAGGGCCTTTTTTCTTTATAGTTTTGGTTTCTATACATTGTGTACATTTATGTAGAGCACCTGACCTGTGATCTGTCTCATCCAATCTTTTGTGGGATACTTCTGTAAACATAGGAATATGCTGTCTAAGTTTCAAAGAAAAATATTTACATTTGTTATGAATTTCATCAATATGATATATGTCTAAAGTGAATAGTCAGATTTACACTACTAAGAATTCATTGATTCTACTATATACGTCTTCGAAATTTGGAATCTTTATATTCTTCCTTCTTATATATGGAAGACTAGAATGTGGAATCTTCACCGCTGTATTTTCCTGTTCTTAGTATGTTATTGTCTTCTAGGTTGGTGTGTCTGGCGCTGGCTACCTTTGGTTAGTGGGTGAGGGAGCTCATGAAGAAGAATGGAGACAGTCAGTAGCGCCTGTTCCAGCTGATAAGCTTAAAGAGTTCTTACGTATTCATGAGGATAAGAAGGAAGTATCCAGCCCAACTGCGAATGTTAATCCTACCTCAGGGGAGTCAAGGCATGACTCTGGTAGTGTTGATGATGATGAGGATGAGAAGGATGATGATGCATACTTCGAAAGAGAGGCCAGATATACTAAATACAGCTGCCTATTCCTAATTTTGATTTGCTTTTAGAAATTTCACCTGAAACCCTGTTCATTGATGTTTTCAGGTAGAAGAATATCACCTGAAACCCCGTTCATTGATTTTTTCAGGTAGAAGAGACTTTCCGACGAGCTGTTTCTGATGTTCCTGGAGTTAAACTGGACAATGTGATTCTAGAAGTGAATGCACTGAGGTATATGTCATGCTCTTTCATTCCTGCTGGCTGCCAACAGGGGACACTTAATTAAGGTCTATAAACTATAAATTTAAATGTTCCCCTGCCCATATAGTCCTCCAAGGAATGTTAGGTCTTCCAGCTATAAGGGATTTTTAGTTCTGCATTTGTCTAAGAAACATGTTGTTCTCATCACTTGTAATAATATCCACAAGTCAGCATTAACCAATATTTTTAATTATGATGGTTGGATGTTGAAAATCTTATTTCATAATAATGTCTTTTTGTTAAATGTACTTGTTTTCTCGAAGCATTGGCATATAGAATGCACCATAGCTTCTAGTTAGATTGTGAATTGATTATGAATCATATAGATCTCTTTTGTTGTGATAAATTTTGTCCATGTGCAGATGTACCATAGGGAAGTGCATAAAGTAGCCCACTTTGAGGTAGTGAGTGTTAACAAGGAAAGTCAGCATGTTTTTATGGGTTCCAATTCTCTAGCTCTTCTAGACTAGCATGTTATTGGAAAGGGTTCCTGCTTCAATTCTACCCTTCTCGGGTTAGAGAAAAGAAGGTTTAAGTTGAATGAGAGGATATTTCTCAGTAGAGAACAAAACCCTATTGTTCAAGTGGTTTGTCTTTCCTTTACCTGAATGCACGCCCAGGCTATACTACTGAAATTTCTTTCATATGCATGTATAGACATTTGTACATGATGATGCCAGCAGCAAGAAATTCTCCTTTGGCAATTGATTAAGTTTTGAAGGGTAAAGGTGCCTTGACTAGAAATAATTTTTTGGTTAGTTCATGTTCATCATGATTTAGGTTTTGCACGTAACTCTTTGATTCACACATGATGAGGACCCATATATTTGAAGGCCATTTTCCCTCCCTCCACTGTTGTATGGTTCAAGTTCAGGTGCCAATGAGCTTGTGACTGATGAGAATCCAAGGTTTTATTCTCTTACATGCATCCTGTTTTTCCCCAGATAGTTACCATGTTTCTGCACTATTAGTGTAAGTTCGATCCTTTTCTTCCATTCTCATCCAAGGCTATCAAATGAAAGATATTTCTTATACTCATATTCCATTGAAGAATTAAGAAACAGAGTGAGGTATTCATAAAAGTAAGAAGCACTGAGGAATTCACATGTGGCTTTTTTGATCAACCGCCAAACCTATTGGACAGTCTTGCAGATGTCATTTGTTTCTTGTGTGTGAACTGCATTCTTAGGTATGATTATAGATAAACTTTATGTTTCTTTTTGGTTAATAGATAATGTTTTCACTCCAGGAGAATAGAACAGTACAAATTCAGAAACTTTCTCGGTATCATAAACTAAGTTCCTATTCTGCTTGATGCAGCTGCTTACAAGTATATGTAACGTTAGAGAAGGGAGTGAGAGATGACGCAAAGAGGGAGAGGAAGGGGGAGTGATGTTAGAGTCCCACGCATCTCTCATGTCGCTTTTATATTAATAAAAAATAGTGAAAGAGCAAAACTGTGCTTAATAACTGAAATAGGACATATATGTCCTATTAGCTTAAACGAAAGATAAATAAGAATTTGAAAGAGGACTTCTCACCCCTCCATCCCCCAAAAGAAAGCTGGAGCATATATTCACCCATACCGAGCTTGGAACAAATATTGCTTAATGTATATTATGACCAAGAGCTTTGGTGAGGATGTCTGCCAACTGATCCTTAGATTTTACATACGAAGTAGACACTTGCTTACTAGTGACTTTCTCTCGAATAAAATGACAAGCTACTTCGATATGCTTAGTTCTCAAGAACACTAGATTGCTGGCTATGTAAATTGCAGCTTTGTTATCACAATACATCTTCATAGGCTCAGCAATAGTAAACCCCATCTCCTACATCAGTGTCTTAGCCACTTCAATTCACATGTAGTATTACCATTTCTCTGTATTCAGCCTCTGCTCTTGATCTAGCCATAACATTTTGTTTATTACTTCTCCATGCTACAAATTTCGACCAAGAAATGCACAATAAACTCCATGCTACCAGATTTCCACCAAGAAATGCACAATAAACTGTGGTAGGCTGCCTATCAGATGGAGAACATGTCCAATCAGCCTTTAAGTAACCCTTAATGTTCAAATGATTATTTGAGTTGTAAATTAGACCTCTACTTGGAGCTCCCTTTAGGTACCTTAAAATTCTACAAACAATATCCCAGTGAGAAATCCACGAGGAGTGCATAAACTGACTCATTACACTTACTTTAAAAAGCAATATCAGGTCTAGTAATGGTTAGATAAATTAGCATACCTACCAGTCTTCTGTACCTTTTTGGATCCTCAAACAATTCCCTCTTGTCAGCCAATAATTTTGTATTTGAATCTAAAGGAGAATCAACTGGTTTAGCCCCTAACATTCCAGCCTCTGTCAACGAATGAATCACATACTTTCTTTGTGACACTCTATTGCTATGCTTTGATCTGGCTTCTTCAATTCCTAGAAAATACATTAGCTGGCCTAAATTCTTTGTTTGAACATATTTTTTTGGTGCCTCTTCAAATGACTAATTCGTTCTTGATCATTACCTGTAAAGACAATATCATAAACATATACATGCAAGACAATTATCCTGGTGTCCTGTTTCCAGATAAACACGAAATGATCTGCATGGCTACGCGAAATCCTTATGCCACAACAATTTCACTAAATTTCTGAAACCTTGCATGTGGGACTGCTTCAAACCTTAAATTGCTTTCTTCAACTGACATACCTTAGCTGAGAGCAACAAACCCAGGTAGTTGCTCCATATATATCGTTTTCTGTAAATCACCATGGAGGAAGGCATTCTTCACATCAAGCTGCCCTGGTGGCCAGCCCCTTGTTTGCTGCTACAAATAGGACTACTTGAACTGAATTAAGTTTAATAAGAAAAATGCAAAAATAAGAAGCATTTTGTCCTGCATCAAATTATTATATCTGTTACAAGTTTTCATGGGTTCAGAACAGTATGTCATCACCTTCTCATGGTGTTTCCCCTGTATGATTATTTCCACTTTCTCATGCATTGTACAAATTGGGTGACAGAAAATGGTAGCCCTGCTTTTACTTAACTATACATAGCATTTTCATTTTCATGTGTTTGTTCTTCATTTAATTGGCAATTTGTTGTTGGTTTCTCATACTCTGTTGTATGATTGTATTTCTCTTTCTCAATCAACCATTTGCTCAGAATCATACGTTTTGCCTGACGCATATTTTTCTATGAATTAGGTTGGCATATAATATGACAGTTTCAGATTGTGCTGGTGCATTATTTCATACTGTCCTGAAGTTGGGTGTAGAATCTTTAAGTGGTACTAGCCGTAAGTGCCTCCTGTGTACATGCTTTTTTCTTGTATTTGCTTAACATATGAATTCACAATGCTGAATATTTCTAAAAAAAATTGCCTTCTTCCTTAGATTGTACTTATCGCATTATCTGCCCAAAATACTAGCATACCTTCGTGCAAATGTGTACACAATGCACATGTGGAAATTCCCCCTTTTATAGACTGTCAAAGATCTGGTTATTATCTTCCAATCTGTGCTTTAATAGATTGTACGATCCTTAAATATCACTTAGTGCACTTTAACCTTTTATGTCACCATTTAAATGATACACTCTATTAGTATCCTTAAAAACTCTGAAGAATGTTTCTCACAATCTAGCCTGGCTGTGTACAGGCATCATTTTCATCTAAGAATTCATGCAACAGTCTGTACATCTACTTGTTGGAATCTGTCAGAGTTGCTGTATTCATGTATTATGGGTGTCATTTTAAATGTTTTCCATATGCATATATTGTCATTTGTTTATTAGGCTATTTGGGCAATTGTTCCTCAATGATTACCAATATTAATTATGCGCTATGATTGGATTCTTTTTTATAGTTATATTTTGTTTTCTTTAAAAATTAACTGGTATTTGTATATCGGAATTGGCTATCAAACAAAATCTTTCAAGAGTTTGTGGTATAAAAACAAATGGATTTATGAATTAAGATATATGCAAAATGGTTGGTGTAGGTTTAAGCGTATGTGTGGGGGGAGGGGTGATCTAGAGCTCGCAAAATTGGGTTTGGGGGTTCTTCTTTTGACAATATATCATATGTGTGGTTCGCTTCTCTTCATGTATGCCAAAAGACACTTGCAATGATCGTCGTAGTTGGAATATTTAGTCCAACAGTTGGTTGAATCTCGAGGGAGCAGAGGAGGATTTGGATGGCCTAAGCAGGGGCACCGCGAGTCCCTTTCCACAGTCAGATCTTATCCCCAGGAATGATAAAAAAAGCACGAATCCGTTAAATAGGCTTACCACTTCTGCCATATTGGAGTCAATAGTGGCAGTTGAGTTGTTGTGTGAGAACGCACTCACCATGGTCATTCTTAAATAGATCACCCACCCCAGCAGGTCCAGGGTTGCTTAAGGAGTAGCGTTCAAAAGTAATTTGATGACACTTGCGGGGTTGGTGGTAGGGCTGAGAATTTACCCGGTTCAGATCCGAAACCCGAATTTTGAAACCTATTCGGATCTAGATATGGATCTGAATTCGGATCTGGATCAAAAAATTGGATCCGTATTACTATTCGGATCAAATTCGGGTACAAGTGGGGGTTCTTCTTTGACAATGTATCATATGTGTGGTTCGCGTCTCTTCATGTATGCCAAAAGACGCTTGCAATGGTCGTCATAGTTGGAATATTTAGTCCAACAGTTGGTTGAATCTCGAGGGAGCAAAGGAGGATTTGGATGGCCTAAGCAGTGGCACTGCGAGTCCCCTTCCACAGTCAGATGTTATCCTCAGGAATGATAAAAAAAGCACGAAGCCTTTAAACAAGCTTACCACTTCTGCCATATTGGAGTCAATAGTGGCGGTTGAATTGTTGTGTGAGAACGGACTCACCATGGTCATTCTTATATAGATTACCCACCCCAGCAGGTCCAGGGTTGCTTAAGGAGTAGGATATTAGAATAGTATATATTATTTTATACATATTTAGTAATTTATATAATTAATTTAAAAGGGAATTAGAAAATAAGTCTGAGAAAGGGAATTCAAAATATTGTTTTCAAGCTGCAGCCTAGGAGATGATCAATTTTCTAATGCACTGGAGGAAATTACAAATATTGAGTTCTATTTAAATGTTTAACGATTTCTCTTAAATCAAATGGACTAGAAAATATAGAGGATGACGAGGCAAAAAAACCTGCTTTGAAAGGGAATTCAGAATATTGTTTTCAAACTGCAGCCTAGGAGATGATATACGTTCTGGTGCGCTGGTGGAAATTACAAATACTGAGTTCCATTTACATTGGCGATTTCTCTTCCACCAAATGGACTAGACAATTTCTCTTCAGCATGGACTAGAAAATATAGAGGATGATGAGTCGATCAGACCTGCTTTATATATATATATATATATATACCAATTCGACGCCAAGATCTCCCTTATATGCTAACTATCTAAATTCTAAATTGAAACTACATCTTATTTCTTAAACTTATGCTAACAATCTAAAATAACCTAAATATATTAATAGGATAATAATCATGAATAAAGAAAACGGAGATATGTCAATTAATAACCAAGTAGTATAAGAGGATTCATAAACTTTTATACTAAACACAACTCTAAATTGCATATTAAAACATTAACTGATATTTATTCAAAAGATATTACAGACAAAACAAACCTCTATATGGACTGTATTACAAACAAACAGTATGGACAGACAGACTGTATAAGAAACAAACAGACTTTCTTATTGACTCATGAAAAGAAATAAAAGAAAGAAGGGCTTACTGTTTACAAATGCAGTAAATGCAGAAAGCCTTCCACTGATTTGGACAATAGCTAGGTAGACTATTCCAGTTACAATCACACATAGACTATCTTATGTTTAGAAAAGAGAGGAAGAGAAGAAAATACAGAAGAGAGAAAAGAGCCTCTGAGGCTAAAGGCTAAAGGAAACCAGAAGGAGAGGAACGAGAAGATGAAGGATGCTAGGAAGGGCTTGAAGGATGCCTTCAAGGATTCAGCCAGGTCTGCTATTTATAGAGGGCGGACGTGAGCTTGAATTATTATTTGATTTGTTGCTTTTGCAGGTTCCACAGATGGATGCCAAGTGGACGGTCTTCAATGCGTTGCTGTATGTATGTCGGTAGCTGAGTGGAGTACAGGTGGACGGCTGGGATCTAAAGGGAATCTCTTTTTGGGTAGTGGTGGACCAGTGGTCGACACAAAGAAGAAGGGAATCTTGCTTTTTGTTTTTTACTGTAGCGGATGAGATGCTTGTCGGCCATTTGCTTTAGTGGAGTCCACGTGGCTTTGTCTTTTAGTGTCGGCAGGAATCTTCTACAGTACTTGGTCTTTTTCTGAAGTGACATATTGATATGATGTATTGGAATTGACTGATGTGATTTCTTTTGGATCTATTTGGGTAATTGAGCTAGGTCGGTCTGCTTTTATGAACAGCCATGAGCAGACCGGTCTTCAATATTTTTCAGGTTTTTCTGGTCCTGCTTCTTCATTATGTATCTGAGTAGTTCGGCTTCTTCAGAAAAGATTTCCAGCAATTGCTTTTCTAACTCTGCTTTGGTGGCCTGAGGGTTTTTCTTTCTCATTATTGATATATATTCTGAAAGGCTATTTGGGTTAATGTATGAATATGAATTATATGCTAGAGGTATTTGTTTTATCAGAATATTATGAGGCTCAAGATTATGGTAGACAAAGACGTCCCACCATTTTATTGAAGTATGTTTGCCCAGACATGATATATATTGGTAATTTTGAGTATTAGTTGGAGATATTGCATATGCCCATTTTAGAATCCATGGTACTTGATATAAAGCAATAAAATATGAGTGGTAATCAATGTTGGGATCTCTCCCATTGTGGTCAATGAATTTATCTTGGGATATTTGTAAGGCTTCAGGCATTATTTGGGATTTGGATCCCCAAACCATAAACCAGTCTTTAAACCAGTTTGGGAATGGGTCAGTTACTGGCATTTTGAACTGGAGAAACCAAGTGTGAGAATTGAACTGTTAAGACTTTGTGCCAGGCTTCAATATGTTCAGAATACCTATAGTGTTTATTTGGGAATTCAAGGGATATTAATCTCTTGGCTCTGGAAGGGTCTGATCCCCATTCACTGAAATGTAGCACTTTTTTTATTTGCAATTTCGATTATGATATTATTTTTGAATTCTTTTGATAGTAATGAGCTATGGTAATAGAACCTGTTTCCAGTAAAACCATCTCAAACCATTCTCTGGTTTTTATACCATAAGAAGGGTTAAGATGGTTGCAGAGGTAATATTTGGCTATTGTATTTGGGTCATCAGCCATATGAATATCTTCTATTACTGTGTCTTCAATGAAAGCAGTTGCTTCATATTGGGATCTTCCAGTAGAAGTAGGTTTTTTGGATATTGGGGATTGTAAGAATATTGGTGTCTGTGGAGATGATGGTGGTTGGCTAGAATATGTAGGATAAACTGGACTATTTGGGTTGCTAGGAGAATATGGTGAAAGATTTCTTACTGGTGATGGAGATGAAGTGGCTGGAATGATATTCATTGGTGCTTTTCTTTTATTAGAATCCATATTTTCTATTTTTATTAAACAATATTAATCCTAAAGAAAGTTCTTCTGGGTCAGACTGATCGGTTCTGCCCTCCCTGCGAAAATTCACGATTTAGAAAGTCAGGGAGATGGTTAGTAGAACTATGCAAATGTCCAATGGTAAAATCAAAAGCTGAGAGAATTGCCTGCCGTCGAGCAAATATCTGTTTTGAGACTAAATTTTGCACATCTTTAAGAAGAATGTCTTTAGCAGCTTTACAGTCAGTGCGAATAAGGAATGTGGTATTTTATATATCACTTTGAAACTTAGTAACGCAATGAACTATAGCTAAATTTCTTTTTTAACAGCGGAATAATTTTTTTGAGTAGAATTCCATGCTTTAGAAGTATATCTAACTAATGGTTCAGTAGAATTTTTTCTTTGTTTTAGAATTCCTCCTAAACCTAGTTCGGATGCATCACACTAAATTATTTTAAATGCATTTGGATCTGGAAGTGAAAGACAGGGTAATTCTTTGGATTTTAGTTGAAGTCTTCTTACAACTTGAGTATGAATATCAGTCCATTTGGGAGGATTCTTTTTCAATCTATCATATAATGGTTTTGCATCTAAAGCTAAGTTTTCATAGAGATCTACTATATAATTGAGACATCCTAAGAATCTTTGTAATTCTTTTTTATCTAATATGATATCTTGGACTTTTTTAGCAAATTGTATAGATCTATCAAT